GATTGGAAGCCAGTGCAGGGAGTGGCAGAGGGGGGCGGGGGATGGAAGCCAGTGCAGGGATCGGCAGAGGGGGGTTGCATACACTGAGCGGTTGGTCAGGTGGATGAATCTAGCAGCTGCATTCATGATAGACTGAAGGGGGGAGGAGCCTGTGTAGAGGTTGGCCAATAAGGAGGGAGCTGTAATAATGAAGACGAGAGATAACAAGTGAGTGTATGAGTAGTTTTGCGGTGTCATTGGTGAGGAAGGGGCGTATTTTGGAGATGTTACGAAGGTGAAGGCGGCAGGATTTGGATAGTGATTGGATGTGGGGAAGAGAGGTCCGAGTCCAGGATGACACCTAGGACCTTGCCATGGGGGGGAGGGGTGGATAGTTGTGTTAGATTATTGTTACTGTTCCCAACAACAACATTGAAATAGTCATTGAGAGTGTTGTAACTCAATCCAACATCCGGGCTTGATTGAAGGGAATGTAGAACGTGCGTGGTGGAGAGTAGCTGGTAGTCAAAGTGGTTTGATGGTGCCAAGGACCTACACTTCTGCCGAACTCTATGGTAATCGGTTAGGGGTTTCATGGAGGTTAGAAGAGCTGCAGTCAAAACCAGTCAACCCCACATTTGGATTGTCCCAATCTCCATGCAGCAGGTGGCAGACCAAATGAAGGAAGCACCGAAATGTGGACTAGGAACCACCAGCAGAAAAACCTTCAATGTCTCCCGGGCCCTCCTCAGCTCTAAGATGTTAGAAGAACAAGAAAGAAGACAATTCCAAGCTGGGCCCACAAGTACCGACAATGTGCCACCCAACCCTGGAGAGTGGCATCTGTAGTAACAGTCTCCATGGTCATTTGGCTTGCCAGGAGAGAAGTTGGGATGTTGTGTCCACCATCGAAGGTCTTGTCTGATCACGTGTGTGGGATTCAGATGGGCTGGTGAGGGGAATCATGATTTGACTTGCTCAAGATGCACAATTGGAGCTTTTGTGCCCACTGAACCATCGGAGCAGAGACAGTAAGAGCCCCCAAGAATCTCATGCGCTGACCAACTGTGAAATAAGGAGGAGAGGAGTTAGACTTTGACTGGATTTGGACAATCTTCTCCTTCTCTTGCTATGGGAACCGGAAGGTAGGCATCCTTGAGGTCCACTGACACATCCAATCCCAGATGTTCTCTGGCTATGGGAACCTGAAGGTAGGCATCCTTGAGGTCCACTGACACATCCAATCCCAGATGTTCTCTTGCTATGGGAACCTGAAGGTAGACATCCTTGAGGTCCACTGACACATCCAATCCCAGATGTTTTCTGGCTATGGGAACCTAAAGGTAGGCCTCCTTGATGTTCACCGACACATGCAATCCCAGATGTTCTCTGGCTAGTGGCTATGGGAACATGAAGGTAGACATCCTTGAGGTCCACCAACACATCCAATCTCAGATGTTCTCTGGCTATGGGAACATGAAGGTAGGCATCCTTGAGGTCCACTGACACATCCAATCTCAGATGTTCTCTGGCTATGGGAACCTAAAGGTAGACATCCTTGAGGTCCACCGACACATCCAATCTCAGATGTTCTCTGGCTATGGGAACATGAAGGTTTGGCATCCTTGAGGTCCACTGACACATCCAATCCCAGACGGAGGTCATGTTTTGTAGGGATTCTTGAAAAATGGAGATGCAGGCCTCTCTAGACATCATTCAGAAGCCAGAAATGCAAAATCCTCTGCCCAGATCTTGACAAAAAGAGAGTCTTCCTCCAACTGATACCCCCTCCCCAGTGCAGGTAATACTTCATCAAGTCTTCTCTGAAGCCTTGGATTCTTGGCTGTCAATTGCCCAACAAAGGAACGCTGGTTCAAATGCCAAGAATCCAAGGCCAGTAGGACCATAAATCTTTGTATTGGTCTCAAGACCTTATTCCAGAGTGAAAAGGCTGCTGACAGCTTCTCTCCTCCTGTATGAGGAAGGCCA